ATTCTATAGTAACCTTCTAAGCTATAAAGGAGATTAAATCCCTAGCAAACTAAGTTCCTACAGGCAGTAGTTTCTGTCGTAACTTAGGTAGTTTAACTTTAACTAGGGGGAGTGCCGTAGGTGCTACTAGCAGGTTAGCTATATTAGTTAGATTACTAGCTAGTGTCTTATCTATAGGGGTAGGAGGGATAGTATTATCTGTAGTATTCTAATAGAGAGTTGCTAGGGCTAGAGTAGCAAGGTTAGAGATAGCTCTACAGGCTTTGTTAAGTTATTCTTAAAGCTAGCAGAGCGCGGCGCAGTCGTTATTCTGTAAAGTTTAAAGAGATTAGAGAGTAGCAAGTATTTGCTGCAAGATAGCATCGTTTAAGGCCTGTTTAGAAGCTATCCTGTCTCTTTTATAGCTCTGTTTTAACAAATATTTAATGTAATAGACTAGCCTTAAAGTAGAACTACAATAAGTGTTAATAAGAATATAAATATTCGTAACAAGGGAGGCCTGAAGGCGATCCGAAGGCTATATACTCTATTGCGCTGACTAAGCCTTATCCTTTAGGCGCAGGCATAGCCTAAGCTATAACAGTAACCCTAGCTTATTATCTATCTATCCTTTAGAAGAAACCGCGTAGTTCTAACTATCTTAGCCTCTATTAAGTTGTATCTATCTATCTAAGTAGTGTTTAGCCTTAAAGACTATTATAGGTAATAGTACTCTGCTGTCTATAGAGACTGCCTCTATTACTGTAACAAGCTCCCTGCTACTAGGTTGTTTCTTAAACGTAGCGTAACGTCGTCTAAACTTCTGTACGTTTAAAACTATTACCTAGGAGACCTATGCCTAGCCTAATAGGATTCCCTTTTTATCTATATTATACTTCTATTCGCGAGGGATATTGTACTTGCGCTAGGTACTATTAATAAGCGTAACAAAGTCTCTAATAGTAGTCTTATTATAGTTGTAGGCCCTATCTAAATCTAGTAGGTAGGCGAGCAGCGTTAATAGCTTATTCCTCTAGATAAATCGAGCTAGCTAGTTTTTTAAGAACCCCTTATCCTCTAGGTAACTATACAAGCCTTTAGCTATCTCCTTAAGGTGCATAACTTGTACAGGTAGTCTCTACAATTCTGCTTCTTTAATATAGGTAACTAGTACAGCCTCCTTATAAGCGTTAAGGTTTTAAGAACTAATATAGCTATCTTTAATAGATAGGTAGCTAGCTGCGCGATATTTAACAGTACTAGGGGATACTCTGTATGCTAGCGCAGCGTTAGTAAAAGAGAAGTATACACTGTCTTTTCTATCCTAAATAGCTCTTTAGATAGCCTCCTTAGTACTAAGCAAAGGTAGCAGCTCTCTATTAAATAGTTAACTAGATGCGTTAGATAAGAAGGATAAGTTAGCTATTAGTAGAACAGTAGTAATAACTACCTACTTCACGGCTGTACAACAACTCTATTATATAGTATTTCGTACATGTAATCAATTCAAATTATTCTACGTCTCAAGCTCTATTAAATAGGCTATTATTCATAATTATCTGACAACTGCTGGTGTTGTGAGGTTGCGTTGAAATAGACGTCTTTTTCTAGTTTTCAGGCTCGCTAGGTGGGTCGGCTCGGCTGGTGGTGACCCACTCTAGCATCGGGGAAGCTCTTACAGTCCGTGGGAGTAGTAGACTAGGAGCAGAGTAGGGGAGGACGGCAATTTGAACAAGGCTGCGCATGAGTGGTCGAGATTGTTTACTTGGAGCCTTGGAGCAAGAGACTGGGCGAATACATGCGCGAATGAGCCCACGAGATGCTGACCGTGAGTGAGTGACCTCATCAAGGATGCGCAAAAAAAAAAAGGGACTCCAACGGGGAAGCAAAAACATAGCGTCAGCATCGGTTGTCCGATAAACGCAAAAAATAACTGCCCACAGGCGGAATCGAACCGCCGATCTTCTCATGATCCGAAGAACCTCATTACTAGTGAGACGCTATACCACTTAGCCATGCGGGCTTTGCTGTTATTTGATGGAGTTTTTGGACGTGTAAAAGCATATATTCGCACGATTCAGTCTTTCGTGGGCGTAACGATCAGCCAGACAATACCGCGCGTGTGGTAAGATAGCTGACTAGTACTAGATGTGATCTAGTTTGAGGCGATATAGTGGGGCGATCCTACTTGATGCCCAAGCACCAACATCGCAAGACACCAGTGTGTAGATTGAATTGAAATACCATTTAGAATACATTCCTTTTACTTGCCATTGATATTGCCCGCATCCTCTAAACCATCCAGCAGACCATGCTCCCTTAGAAGAGAATTATACCTCTCCTGCCGAGGCTCCACGAGCTGCCTCGTTGCTTCCGCTCCAACCACCGGGAGTCTCTTCAGACCCTCATTCTTCCATTTTTTCGGCACCACTTTCGGATCCAGAAGACCAACCTGTACCAATACTGAAGCCTGATCCCAATACATGTGCTCCGAAACCAACTTCCCTCCTCTTACCGCGACAATACTAACCATGGCAATCTCGACAAACTTGTCGGTAGGCGCCACACCAGGCAGTATCCAGTCTACCTCATCCGAATGCGTAAACGACACCACCATCTCGTCTACCACACGATCCACACCAATCGTCCGAGACACCAGACGGATCTCGAAATCCTCCACCAGGCTCGGGACGAAGAACTCGCGGTAGAATTCTTCTAGCTTTCGTCTTCCTACGCCTCCTTCTAGAGTTGGCATGATGGTGAGATGCGGGCTGTTTTGCGAGGTGCACCGCACCACGGCCATGCTTGCTCGCTCCGGCACCTCATCCTCGTATTTTGCATTCCACGCTGCCTGCACTACCGGCTCCAGATCAACTTCCTTCTTCATTGCGCTTCGCACACTTGTCAGTGCACGAGTGTTTGCTAGGTTCGCTTCGACTTCAGAGTACGCTTTCGCGCTCGGGTCCGCGAAGCCCAGCGAGCAACGCTCATAGCGGTACAGCTTCCAATCGCACATCTCACTCGGAGGGCTCACCTGGCCTACAATTACGGGTAGAGTCAGCACGCGTTGTCGTCTAGAAGGGCGTCAGTACGAACTCAGGCCTGCAACGTGAACCTGCACTCTGAGCAGGCTCGGGAACTTGAACTTTGGAGATGGTAAGATGCTGGGATAGAAAGCCACAATTGCCGAGCATTTAGCCATGGGCTTCATGGCCAGCTTGAGCACTGCGGTCGCTGCTGTGCCGTAGCATATGACGGCATACGTTTCGCCGAGTTTGAGCTGTTCGTGAAGCGTCTTGAGCGTGCGTACGTAGTTGGCATGGTCGTTCGGATCATAGGGAAGGTAGGAAGCATCGTAGCCTTCGTCCCGCCAGTAGACTAGGGCGCGTTCGGGGGCGTGGACGGATGGTGCCGTCAGCCATATCCGCGGCGCCCTTGAGTTGAAGGCTAGGAAGCCGGGGCCGGTTTGCGATGGTGCGGTGGAAGACATTTCGGTTCGCGTCTTGTCTCGTCTCCTTCCTTTCCTCCGCGCAGCTAGACTTTCGAGATTTCGAATGGGCTGTGGATTGCCTTTAACTACACACCAAGGTAGGTATCCAGGCCCCTCTTCCAAGTTTTGGATGGGGAGCACGGCGCGGCGCAGCTGTTCCCTGGATTCCGCTGTGCTCGACGCAGAATGACATCATGGCAGCGAAGCACGAGAGGTCTGAATCAGATACCTTCCATCGACAACAGGACCCAAAGATGCTGAGACTCCGGGTCCTCACTATCATGTCCGAATGCAGTGGCTCAGCAGTGGATGTTACTTTGCCGTGGAGCCGAGGCAGAAAGAAGCTCTGCCTGCACTACCGAGCAGACCTCCGGTGGGACGGACAAATAAGTAGACGCACATGTCAACCGACGGGCGCAGTGTCTTGCACTCTCTCGCACTGTCTCTCCCGCCCCCAAATCGCCGTCTCGTCCTACGACTGAGCTTCTCGAGCTTCTCGAGCTTCTCGCCTTTCTCCAGAGTTCTCTAGGTAGCGCTTCTTCCCCGCGCTCGTCCCCGCGCTCTTCCCCACGCCCGAATGGCCACCAAGAGCCCGCTCAAGGCGGAGAAGCTGCCCTCGAAAGAAGAGCTGAAAGAAGATGTAACAGTCGCGGCCAAGTCGTCGCTGCAGTCGCTGCGGGCGCTGGCAGCCGGCGGCGTGGGGGGAATCTGCGCCGTCGTCGTGGGGCATCCGTTCGACCTGGTCAAGGTGCGGCTGCAGACGGCGGAGAAAGGAGTGTACAGCGGCGCCATGGACGTTGTGCGGCGGACCATTGCGCGGGAGGGGCTTGCACGAGGCCTGTATGCCGGCGTGTCTGCGCCGCTGGTCGGCGTGACTCCCATGTGTGAGTTCCATGCCCTCTATATTCCATGACTTCTATACATCTATCTGCGCATACCACGTCGAGCTGCAGTTGCTGACCGTTGACGCTCCCAGTCGCCGTCTCCTTCTGGGGCTACGATGTCGGCAAGCAGCTCGTGTCGTCCTTCTCCACCGTCGAGAAGGGCCAATACTCAGTGGGCCAAGTCGCCTCCGCCGGCTTCTTCAGCGCCATCCCCATGACCATCATTACTGCGCCCTTTGAGCGCGTCAAAGTGCTCCTGCAGATACAGGGCCAGAAGCAGCTCGCGCCGGGCGAGAAGCCAAAGTACGCGGGCGGCGTCGACGTGGTGCGCCAGCTATACAAGGAAGGCGGCATCCGCTCTGTGTTCCGCGGCTCTGCTATGACGCTGGCCCGTGACGGCCCGGGCTCTGCGTGCTATTTTGCTACGTATGAAATCGTCAAGAGGAAGCTCACGCCAAAGGACCTGGTCACGGGGCAGCCGGGCCAGCTCTCGCTGACGGCTGTCATGGCGGCCGGTGGTGCTGCCGGTATTGCCATGTGGATTCCCGTCTTTCCCATTGACACGATAAAGTCAAGGCTGCAGAGCGCCGAGGGCCGCCCCACCATCAGTGGCACAATCAAGGGCATACACGCCAGCGGTGGTTTGAAGGCCTTCTTCCCCGGAATAGGCCCTGCCATGGCACGAGCCGTGCCGGCCAATGCGGCAACCTTCTTGGGCGTGGAGTTGGCCCAGAAAGCGATGACAAGAATGTTCGACCGCGATGGGGAGTAGAGCTGTTCAAGCGAATCGCTAGCATTCCTCAAGTACGCAAGTAGTTTCGGAATGCAGTTTGAATTAATTTCCCACTCAATTTCGGATGCATGCCTCGTTTGTTTTGCACTTGTCCTGAACCGTCACCGGCTTTGTTCTCGTCGTCGTCTGAATACGGTGCTCAAGACAGCCCGATACATCTAACAATCCTCGCCGAGCTACACTTCTGATTCTTTTACAGCCTCATAATCATGGCCGCCCTTCCAAATAACTACTCTCCGCTGCAGCAACATCCCCTTCCTTCCCCTCGACAGCCGACATGTCCTCCCACGCCTCCAACACAAACCCTCATCTTGAGTCATCCTTCGGCACGTCTCTCGTCCAGTCCCGCATCCTCACCACGCGTGGAGTCTCCTCCAGCACGAACACGCTCCATCCGACCGGAAATCAGCCATCTCATGGATCATGGCACATCCCCAGGCCCTGACTTCTTCGAGGACTCTTCCGGCGACGACAGTTCAGAGTGGGAAGACGACAACGGGACGCGCAACTTAACCGAGCATGGAGGTATAGTGAATAGAGAGGATGGACATGGAGAGGAAGATGTCGAGGAGCTTGCGCGGGGAAGACGACGAGGCGACACAGTGCACAACCATGTAGACCACGACTCCCAAAGCAAAACCAAAGGCATCGACCGCGCGTCCCAAATGTCCCTCCGCCGCCTAGGAAACGTGAGAATAGTGCACAACCGTGGTTCCGGCTCAGCAGGCTACGGCACTCCGCGCGCAAGCCTACTGAGCGACGAGAACCCTCTCCATCCCCCCACACCAGGCCCAGGACTCGGACTGTCGCCATTCCCCGAGCTCCGGGGTAGAGACAGCGGTATAGGATCGCACCCGAATATGAAGTTCCCTGTGGGAGGAAGCAGAAGACACCGAAGCAATACATCTGAAAGCATTCGCGCGGACTCGATACTAAACGCGCATGCCATGACGATGAAGGCGCTCGAGTCACTGCCATCCACAGCCACACTATCGGCGGGCCCAAGGGATACGACATCGAAGACATATTCGCAACACTCGAGTCTAGACATCACGGGGAAGCCGAAGAAGAGTGCAAGTTTTTCCGAAAACAGACGCGTTGTCCTATCTCCCCCACGCGCCCGCAGCCACGAAGAAGATGTGAATCGTCCCGCTCATCTCCCCGCCCACTTCATTAAAACGCCCTACCCTTTCAGCGCGAAAAAGGAATTCCCCATCAGATCGGCGACTAGACTGCGGGCTGCGGCGATGAGTCCAAGGCTAGACAAGGGAGGATGGGAGCCGGAAAACGGGTTCGATAATAAAAAGGGGAAACATGTTTTAGGCATTGCTGCTAGTGATGGAGAGTATGATTTGAGGAGTAGGTTGGAAAGGAACGAGGACGCACAGGGGGTTATACGAATAAGGAACGAGCAAGGGAAGGCCAGGGGACGGTGGAAGATGGATAAGAGTGAGGGAGCGGGGAAGGAAGCTACGTTGTGGTTGACACTACGAAAGAACCATTTGTGTCGGAAGCGTGACGACGATGTCATCGATAAGATAGAAAGTATCAGCGTGCCTAACAATCTTACAACGAGCCCTATCCATGCCGGCGAGAAGAAAAGGAAACGGAGCAAGGCGTCGTCGACAAAGGAAGCCAGAGAAGAAGGAGAAGAAGAAGCCAACATCGATTTCGATGACCAGCTCCTAGCCCATCGTTTACGATCCGGATATAACTCCCTAACCCTTCCCCATATCCTCCGCATCTTCAGCGCTCGCCAGCTCTATACAATACGTCTCGGACGCATCAGTCCCTGGAGCGGCACATCTCCCCTAAGCACCGACCACAGCCACCCCGGAGAGGCAGGGACAGACCAC